AAAATGCCCAATTTCAGCCTGTAGGTTCTTAAATCACTAGGTTCTTATACGCGGGTGTTTACTGTATCACAAACCTGAAATGTAAATATACAAGACTTACAGGATACAAGTATTTTGAAGGATAATTATTTGACATCATGATAATCCATGGCACACTGTAATAACACCATCTGACCAAAACTCATTCAAACAGATTATCATTATTTACATGTATTGCACATGGTCAATTACAATATCATAATTTCATCATTCAGTTCAAGTCATAAGCACTAATGAGAAGGATTTAGAGGACTTCTTAATTAATATGGCAATGATTTGGAAGAGTTATCTGAAGTCTCATCCTTTTAATAATTTGAAAAACTGATAATTATTTTGGTTTGAATATTGACTAGTGAATTAGTTAACAATCAACATAACATAATGTTGTTTTTAGGTGACCAGTAAGGGTAACAGACACCATTTCAAGATTATATTTCTGAAACAGGTATTGTACTTGTGCAATCCAATAAGTAAGAGGATGTGTTAAGACCACCACATGACAGTGATTGACACAAGTAGAGAATCAAATACTTCGACTAAATAAATAAAATTATTGCAATAATTTATTTAAATAAGTAAAATAGATATTTACCTTTTCTATTAATTTCAGAAAATTCATTTGACCAGCTGATCACAAAATTTTAGATATCCTTGCAACATCATTATGAAAGCTGTGATGCTGTGCCACTGTATGATCCTGGACAGATGAAAGAGTTTGCCGACAAAAGTGCACCTGGTCTTTTCGATGTCATTTTGCAGTCTATTCTCTGGGAAGATCCAATATTGAGTGAAGAACACCGTGTATTACAGGAAAAAAGAACTCTTGTTTTGTTACGCACAATAGCATATTTCAGGTACTTTGCCCTGTTTTATTCTTTGTTTAAGGGCCCATTAACCGATTTATGCGCGTGCTCGTGCGCGTTGCTTAGGAGGTGAAATTTCACTTCTGGTTACTTACGTCAGCCTGAGCACAGAAAATAAAAATAACTCGATAACCTCAAAATTCGCTCACATTTTAGATGTTTTTCTTTGTGTTTCACAAAATGCAAAGTAAAAAAAGTACAAGCAAAGACAAAATAAGAGAAAGACAGAAAAACAAGAGCAATAGAAAGAGAAAAACCAACTCTGTGTCACTTTGTTTGATCTTACCGAAGTGTGCTGGTAGTGTAAATTGCACACGCGCTGATAGGGTAACTTCCCAATATATATCGGGTGCACTTCCGGTTTCTTTAAATGTTAAAGGAAGTGCGGTTTTTCCTTAAATCCAGCCTTTTTTTACGGATTTCGATTAAAGCCAATGTTGGAAACATAGCTATGCATTCCTTTTTCAAAATCATGCTTTTTTCA